AGTGTGGAAGCTGAGGAAGAGTAAGAGTCTGGAAGGACAAATGTTCTTTTAAGAATCTGCTGGGGGAAAAAAAAAAAGAATCTGCTGAAAGTTGGACCCTCGCCCTATGCATTACTTTGAGTTTTTCCATCCCTATTCCACAGAGATGTTCCATTTATTTTTTAATGCAGTTCTGCATTTGAATATTATTAAACATTTTATCTATAATTCCTACTTCTTTTGAGTTTAAGAAAAAGGAGGAGTTTATATGTGTTTATTTCCCTACCTTGACTCAGTGTTCCTCTGCTGTGCTCTAGATGTTTCCATGGTACCAGATGCAAAAGAAACATTGCTGGTGGGATAACCATTCACTACCGAATTAAACCCAGAAAATATTCATACGTACTGTATGATCTCATTTATATGAAATTCTAGATGTCCTTCACCCATCCCACTTCCCCTACCCACCCACCCCCATCCTCTGCCTCTGGCAACCACTAATCTGTTCTCTGTATCTGCTACAGAGCTTTTGTTTTGTTTTGTTTTTTTTAAGATTCTACATGTTATTTCTTTCACTCAGCATAAATAAGTCAATCGGAGAAGGACAAACAGTATATGGTCTCATTCATTTGGGGAATATAAAAAATAGTGAAAGAGAATAAAGGGGAAAGGAGAAAAAAGGGGGGGAATATCAGAAAGGGAGACAGAACATGAAGACTCCTAACTCCGGGAAATGAACTAGGGGTGGTGGAAGGGGAGGAGGGCGGGGGGTGGGGGTGAATGGGTGACGGGCACTGAGGGGGGCACTTGATGGGATGAGCACTGGGTGTTATTCTGTATGTTGACAAATTGAACACCAATAAAAAATAAATTTATTAAAAAAAAGATTCTACATGTTTTTCTCTGCCTAACTTACTTCACTTAACATAATGGTCTCAGGGTTTAACCCATGTTGTCACAAAGGGCAAAATTTCATTCTTTTTGTGGCTAGGTAATATTCCATGTATTTATATACCACACCTTCTGTATACATTTCACTTATCATTGGACACTTAGTTTGCTTCCACATCTTGCTTATTGTAAGTAATGCTGCAGTGAGCATATCTTTTCAAACTAGCATTTTGATTTGCTTCAGATAAATACTCAAAAGGGATTTCTGGATCTTATGTTACTTATATTTTTAATTTTTTGTGGAACCTATACACAGTTCTTCGTAGTAGCTGCAACAATTTCTATTTCCACCAGAAGTGCACAGGATTTCCCTTTTCTTCACATCCTCATCAGCACTAGTTTATTCTTTTGTTTGTTCTTTTTTTTTTTCGATAATACCATTCTAATAGTAATATCATATTGTGACTTTGATTTGCATTTCTCTTAATGATTAATGATGTTAAATATCTTTTTATGTAATTTGTCAGTCATCTGTATGTCTTTTAAAAAATGCATATTTACATCTGCCTATTTTTAATCAGATTGTGTTTTTGCTATCGAGTTGTGTGAGTTCTTTATATATTTTACCAGAAATGTGACTTGCAAGTATTTTCTCCCATTCAGTACGATAGCCTTTTCATTCTGTTGATTTCCTTTGCTGCCTACAAGCATTTTAGTGTGATGTAGTCCCACTTACTTATTTTTGCTTTTTTGCTTTTACTTTTGGTGTATGATCTATGGAACTATAAATCAAATCTGTGGTTGCTTCAGGAGGGGAGATTGACTGTAAAAGTGGCACAAGGGAACTTTCTAAGGTGATGAAAGCATTCAGGTTTTGATAAGCGTTTCTCAAATTTATTTGAGAGGTATGTTTAAGATCTGAGCTTTTCATCCAGTTGTAAAGTGTACCTCAATGTAAAAAATACTCGGTAATCATACGGTGTTCAATCCCACTGATTATCAGGGAAAGGCAAATGAAAAGTTCAATGAAATGGTATGATACACTATTAGCATGATCGAAGTTTTAAAAAATGATAAAATCAATTTTGGTGTGAATTAGAATAACTGAAATTATCACTGCACTGCATTATGTGCACAACTTGTTCCAAATACCTTAGAAAGTTAATAAGATTGAACCTATGTATACTCTGTGACCCAGGAATTCTGCTCTTAAGCATAAACTCAGCACAACTACATGTCGCATTTGCACAGATACACATACAGAAATGTTTAAAGCAGAATCATCCAGAGTTTGAAAGTGAAACAGCACAAATGTCAATTCTCAGTGAAACATTTAAATAAGCTGAGTCAAATAATAAAATAGTAGTCATCTTCACCCTGTAATATTAAAAGTGAAATTAATGTGGAAAGGAGGAAAAAGGACACTGGGATAAAGTAAATTTTTCCAATTAAAAAAAAAAAAAGGGTACCCCTGGGTGGCTCAGCGGTTGGACGCCTGTCTTCGGCCCAGGGTGTGATCCTGGAGACCCAGGATCAAGTCCCACATCGGGCTCCCTGCATGGAGCCTGCTTCTCCCTCTGCCTGTGCCCCCCCCTCTCTCTCATGAATAAATAAATAAAATCTTAAAAAAAATAAAAAAAGTTGAAGCATACAAAGGAATAATATATTCCAGAAAGGAAAATGAATGGAATATTGGTATAGGCAGTACTATGGATGAATTTAGAAAAAAGAACTGAACAAGAAAAGCTAGATCCTATGGAATATGTAAAATATGATTCCATTTTTAAAAAATTGAAAAGAAGACAAAAGGAATCTATGATTTTGAAAATTAGGATAGCCTTTACATTTGGGGAAGGAGAGAGTGAATGTGATGGGCATTAGGGATATGGGATTTTATAAAGCTTTATTTTTTATTTTGGAGTTATTACAGGCTGTGTTCAGTTTGTCATAACATCCAGCTACACAATTATGATTAGTGCAGTTTTCTTTGTGTTATGTGCTAATACAAAAAAAATTTTTTTAAAGATTTATGTATTTATTAGAGAGAGAAAGAGAGAGAGAGGCTCCAGCAGACTCTTTGCTGGGCTCAGAACCCTATTGCAGGGCTTGATTTCGAGACCCTGAGATCATGACCTGAGCTGAAACCAAGAGCCAGATGCCTAACCAGCTATGGCACACAGGGGCCCTGAATACAAAATTTATTATTGGGGCACCTGGGTGACTGAGTCAGTTGAGTGTCTGACCCTTGATTTCAGCTAGGGTCATGATTTCAGGGTCATGAGATCGAGCCCCAAGTTGGCTTCCATGCTTAACATGGAGTCTGCTAACCCCTCTCCCTCTGCATACATCTCCTCCTGCACACACACATGCTCACACATTCTCTCTCTCAAATTAATAAAATCTTCAAAGCTTATTATTATTTTCTAATCATGTTGACATCCTAGCATAAGAAGAAAGAAATGGTAACAGAATTATGGTTTCAAATTACTGAATATACCTGAACTTTTCAATTTTTTTATTGTTAGTTTTATTGCAAAGTTTTTTTTTTCATTAACAACAAAAATTCTCCATTATCCATCCTAAAAGTGTGAGTTCTTGTCTAGGCTTCAAAATAAACCTATTATAGTCTCAAGCTGTATTTTACTGTGCACGTAGCGAGTAACTGAGGGCTGAGGTGCTGTGCTGCCCGAGTCTGCACATGTGCAGGAGCCAGGCGGTAGTCCGCGTCCACGTCAAGCAGAGCCTTGTGCTTCAGCATCAGAAGAATCAGGCAGGCAGGTTTGACAGGGCCTGTGTGTAACTCCTCTCTCCCCTGTGCGTTCTCCCCCCGCCAAAAAAGTACTTCAGTATTTCAAAGAAATTCCGAGGCTTTGTGAACTGTGGAATGCTATTAGAAGAAACACAGGTGACGGTATAACAGGGGGATTGTGTGTTCATGTGCTAGGGCTGCCATACGAAGTACCACGGACGGGATGGCTGAGACCATGGAAATGCATTTTCTCACAATTCTGGAGGCTAGAATTCCAGGGTCAAAGTGTTAGCGGGTTGGTTTTTCCGGAGGTCTCTCTCCGTCTCGCCTTCGTCTATAAGCAGCAAGTCTCTCTGTGCTCCACGCAGCCTTTGCTCTGTGCACTTGCATCTCTGATGTCTTTTCCTCCTCTGACCCGTTCCTCCAAGGACACCGGCCATTTGGATGAGGACCACCCTAACAGCCTCACCCTGACTTAATCACCTCTTTAAAGACCTCCTCAAAACAGTTCCCCTGCTGAGGGGCTAGGGCCTGGAAGTTGGGGGCAGGGGGACGCAGCATCGCCCACCGCGGGTTGCTGGCCTGCCGGTTTCTCCGGTAGGATGCAGGGACTCCGTGAATGCATTAAAACCTAACGCAGCGCACCATGGGATGGCTCGCCTCTCCCCCTGCCCAAGGAATGCAAAATCCAGAGATGTTCCTTTCTCAAGATTTGTAAACAATTCAGAAATTGTTTACAGAAAGAAATGATAGTAAGTTGAGTTCTAAAATGGTAACTTAATACCCTCCCTAAATAGCTGAGGTGGTGAACAAGTACATGGGGATGGTTAGATACCAGGTTATTTTGTATCAGTGAAGAGGAAAGTAATAGGACAGGAAATCTCTGTGGCAGTCCATTTGTCTTGTTACGTGGAAGTTAACATTACAAAATGATACAGTCTTTAAAGTATTGCTAAAAATTCTGCAAAAAAATGGTTTTGTCCCCTGCATGGAGTGCTCTATCCCTTTGCCTACTTCAGAGCCTCAACTTCCCCAGAAAAGCCTGTGCTGACCCTTTCTCCAGTATGTATTTGGTTCCCCATTATCCTTATGGAGCAACATTCCTTTTTCTATAAGGTAGTTATCATAATTTAAATTATTTCATTTATGGTTATTTGGTGTTGCTCTCATCCACTAAATTTAAGCTTCCTGGGGGACAGTGGCTCTGTCTTTTGTGTTCACCAGTTTTGACCTGCTGTTCCCTAGCACTGCATAAACATTCAGTAAATATTTGCAGAATAATGGAACCAACAGAAAGTTTGACAGTACAACTAAATATTTCATTTGGTGATAATTTTATGCCTGGGAAATTGGGCTAATTTCTATTTATATTTCTGTCTAGAATGTAGCAGATCAGATTGCATTTCAAGTTGCTGGTGGATTAACAGCCCTTGAACACATTCTTCAAGTAGTAGTCCCAACCACAAATGTGAACACAGCTTCACGAATTCCTCCTAAGTAAGTATAGTTTTTTTAATCTGTCTTTCACGTTTCATTTGTGAGTCATTTCTGTCCTATGGTTTCCATATGGGGCCCCATAAGAAAATTGTATGCGTATTCAGGCTTGAATAGCAAAAGCTTACACCCCCCATTAGGGAGAAAAACAGAGGTGCTCAACTTCACTTACAAAACTCAAATCGAGCCGAAAAAAACCTTAGAAAGGAAATCTCTTTGGTCTGTGACCTTCTCAAATCCTAAAACAAGAAGAATGGGTGAACTCCTGGGCAGCTGTAACTGCTTACATAAATTGAATGGGACTGAATAGTAGTAACAAAGGTAATTTTTTGTGTTGAGTACAAGAAGGGGTAAGTACATTAAGAAAAGCCTGAGCTGTGAAATTCGAAGAAATCCCTAACATACCGGAAGAGCAGTCTGCCAAGAGTGCTGGCCAAATAGCTGGGAGCTGAATTGCAGTTTGGTCTTTAACTGCAAATTGCTCTTTGTCATATGGATCCTGTGGAAGCTTTCAACCCAAGATTTGCTTTCCCTTCTCTTAAGTCACTCAGTGATCCCTGGCCACCTGGAATAGAGTAACAGACAGCCTTATTTCAGAAGCATTACATTCGGAGTAGGAGCATGCCCAATTTCTTGTTATTTTATGGAGACTCTTATTTACAGAGGGTAAATGAGAAGTTTTGATAAAAGTTCGCTTTTATCACTGAGAAAACTTAAATATTTAGTTAGCCCCACATAAGTGGGTGCTTTCTTTGTTCATTGGATACTACAGAAAAGGAATTTCAAGAATATGTTTTCTTTCCCCCTGAGAGACATTTTGGTAAAATAAAAATAGCACTGACTTTGGAGTTGGACGAACCTGGATTCTAGTTTTACCTCTACCGGTTACGGCACTTTGGGCAAGTGCCTTATTCTTGTTGCTTCTATTTCCTCGTTTGGTTAACCGGGGTAACCCTATTCACCTCTACTGTGCTACCGTGGGGAGCAAGTGAAATATATGTGAGAGTTCTTTGTAAACTTTAAAGTGCTATATAAATCCGAGGTGACAGTTTTTAAGTAGTAGTCTTGCTTGCCTAAGACAGTGTTGTCTCTTTGAAACGAGACATTTCTAAGTACAAACTGTTTGATAGTGAGGTTAGTTTGGGTTCCTTTGCTCCACTGACAAAGTGGAGATTGATAAAAGAAGGTCTCGGTATCCTTTGAGTCAGGATATCTTTCTGTGGAGCATACAAACCTGTGGAGCACGCATACAGGTTTCCTAACCTAGGAGAGTTGGTGTTCTTTATCCAAATAGATTTTATTGACAGTATGTTCAGCATGTTGTCATCACTCAGTGTTAGTTCCTTGCAAGGGAGGGAGGGACGAAGGAAAGAATCCAATACACAACAAATTCGAGATTTTAAGAAAGGAAATGGCTTTTGATTCTTTGGGACAGTGCTTTGGTATCGTTCATCTTAAATGCAACGGCAGCTTTTTGTTTTGTCTTGGTTTAGTTTCTTTTGTTTTCTGGTAAGTCTCAATGTGCACGACACCGGTAACCCAAATAATGCCTGTTTTACAAAAGCTAATTTGTCATTGTGCCAAAAAGCATGCTCTGGTACTTATCTGTGACTATCATTTAGGGAACAGAGAGGTTTCCATAAAAGACCTAAGCAAGAATTAGCATACCACTTGGAAAGGAGCCCTGGAATTCTGAGAGTCCAGACCAGAGCTTCTCTGATGGCCACCAGCTGACCACAGTGCCATGGTTGAGAGTTTGTTTCTTCATCTCACCTTAGGCTGTAGATATGTGTGTTGAGCCAACGCAGTGGGCATCGAGCAGCCACTCTGAGATTCTCTTCTGAGCACAGCTCAAGATCATGACTCTACTTTCTAAATTAGCCTCACTTCTCAGGACCTACAGGATTAGGGCCATGAGAGCATTATGCTACTTACTCATTAAAGGCGAAGACATGCCACGGCTGTGTGGGAATTCATGCAGATTGGGGACACTCTGGTAGGCAGGAGTCGGGGCCTAACTCAGGAAGTGTTGTGCAGACTGCTGTTGTGCACAGAGCCCGCCCCGCCGCCTTCCCTAGTCCTCAGATACTGCCTTTGCTCTCAGCCCGCCCAAGCCCTCCTCTTCCATCTGTGATGAGCTCCCATCCCTCAGCTCCGGGAACCTTCTGTCACTTGAGCTCACTTTGTTTCTGCCTCCTGTGGCATTTCACAACTCTTACCAGAGAGGCAGGGTTTGTTTTGTACTATCCTGCATTAATTTTTCTCAGTAGTAAACAGCAGAGCTTTTGAGAAGTGTGAGCCACTGCCTGGGAACATTCACCACGTGGATCATCTAGGCCCTTACCTATGTGGCTCACCTGTGACTGCCCACTGAACGTTTCACTGGCCCTGCAGCTTGAGCTCTGTGAGTGGGTAGACCAGCTCCCTGATTCTCTTTCCTCACCACCTGCCTCCCTCCCTTTCCATTCTACATAGCACCTCAGCATTTGCCCTGTCATTGTTGCTAGCTAACTTCCTTGTAATGAATATTTGCTTCCAGCAGATTTTTTCAAATGTGGGATTGAGAACCATACCTGCTTCTCAAAATTTAAATTTTTGAAACCTTTCTGAAATCCTTCATGGGTTGTTTTGCTTCTGTTAGAAGCAGGGAGAGCCCATAGAACTGCTTGAATCTTTGCAAGGACTTCATTAGGATGCGGTATTCCAAAGTCAACCTTCTTAGCAAACGTGCTCCAATAAAACTGCCTTCAGTGCCAAGAAAGATCAGCCTGAAACGAGGCAATTTCCATTTCATGGGACACCTACTTGGAGGATGACTCATATTATTTTACTTTCTCACTTTAATTGCAGAAAACAAGTATGAAAGAATGAATGAATATTCTAGCCTTTTCTTTGGCTTAGGCTGGTAACAGTCGTTTAACATAGCTTTTAATATTTGAGAATAAGTGCTGGTTTGTCATTTTCTTTGATCATAGAGGATGCCCCATGTGATAAGAAGATAGATCTGCTGTGACTAGAAGCTGTGGCCAAGGCTTTGTGTTGTGTCTTTATAGCATATTTACGGACCGGCAATGATAATAAAAGGGAGAGTTGGTGCTCGCTGGCATTCCACATCTGCAGGCCCCTTACAGGCACCAGTAGATATTCATATTTCACAGCTAAGCCCACAGACCTTTTGGGCCATGAAAAACTATCACTGGGCGAATAAGTCTTCCCAGGTTGCCTCTTACTTACTTGGTCCCCCTACTTCTTGACATAGACAACAAAAGGGTCAAATAGTTAGCTCTCCAAGCCACTCTAGGTTTTCCATTGGAGCACTCACCAGGGCCCCTATTTCTCCTCTGTCAGCCTTGCTTATATCTCCCTTCATTGTCCCCCTGGACCCAATTTTTTATATAGAAGTAGTTTCATTAATACGAAGCAGGGCCGATGGCATAGTATAGTAGAAAATATTCAAGTTCGAGTCAGATCTGAGCTTAAATTCCCTGCTCTTCACATATTAGGCATATGACCTTGGGCCAAGTTGCTTGTATAACAGAGCCTCGGTTACACAGTAACACTGCCGTGTCACGTAGGACTTGTTGGCTGCTGTGAGAATTAAAAGTGCATGTGTCTGTTAAGTGCCTTGTACAAGGAAAGCACTTAACTAATATCAGGGTGGTGGTTGTAGTTGTTACGAGGTTGACTTTACGTTATCCTACTCAATTACTCTGCTTGAAGTCCCTCACTCTTTGTCACTTCAGCTTCTAACAGCTGTCATTTGTTCGTTTTACTTGGGCATTTGTTTTTTCATCGTAAGCCCAAGCTTCATCCTGGTAGAGATCTTTTTTGGATCCTGACTGACCTCTAATTTAGTGTCTTTTTTTCTTTTTTAACTTTGTGCCAGACCTAATGTTGATCCATAGAACACATACATCTTCATCTAAATCACTGAGAAAATATCTCACACATTAGAAAATAGTTCAGTTTAGCACTTTATTAATGTAGTATCTTGCAGGTATTCCATTTGTTGTACTATCCTCTCCCCAGATAGACTGTAATTTCTTGGGACCAGAAACCATAGTAAATATACTATTTTTATTATTATAAAAACAATATCATTATTTATTATTATTTATCATAATAGCACCTTAATAGATATCATTTGAATACATGAATAAATTATTTTTCCCATAGATGGAAATAAAGCAGTAAGAGAGCTCAATGCATCAAATACTTGACTCTTTGGACTTCAAATATGATCATGTCTCAGTCAAATAAAGTCCTCTTGATTTTGACTATTCTGTTTCCTAGATTTTAGGAATTTTTAAAAATTCTGTCTTTAAATTTCTGTGTACTTGTAATTATATCAAGTATCTGTAACTGCTACTTATTCAAAAAGCTAGAACTGTGTTCTTGGTCATCCGTATCACAATTTTAGAATCAGAGCACATTGGTATGTATAAGATTGCCCCCATTTTAAACTATGTTAAAAAATAGATCCTTTTTGGGATGCCTGCGTGGCTCAGGGCATGATCACAGGGTCCTGGGGTCTGCATCGGGCTCCCTGTGAGGAGCCTGCTTCTCCCTCTGCCTGTGTGTGTGTGTGTGTGTGTGTGTGTGTGTGTGTGTGTGTCTACATGTCTCTCATGAATAAATAAATAAAATCTTAAAAAAAAATAGATCCTTCTCACTGCTGTGTTCTTTTACAAAGTATACCTATTTATTCAGATCAAACAAATTAAGTTGCTTTTTTACTTCTTCATGGTATATATATTTACCTGTAATAAACCAGTCTTTCTCAGGTAAAACAGTTGTCGCTGTTGTTGTTATATGAGGTGGAGTTTTGCTTCTTAGGAAGATCGTTTATAAGATATCACAAACTTATTCTCCAAAGTAAAATAAAATGATACTTGTGATTTTGTGTACTTTATCCACTTGGCAGTATTGCATTTATTTGATCCTTTGCATTGGTGAGGAGACAGACCTTAATTAACATTACTGTGTGTGTCCTCAGCGCCAGT